TATAAAAAAAAAATACTGCCAACTCCAGTGCATTTATTCCTAAATACAACATTATTTACTTATCCATAATTAGCATATTCTATAGGCCTAACAGATTGCACAAGTACTACAAATATACAAGCATGTTTATTTAACGACTGACAGTAAATTACACAGGTTTTGGATTAATTCATGATTCTGAATTACTGAACGCTCTTTAGAAACAAGGAGCGTTCAGTAATTCAGAACTGATGTTAAATACCAATTAGAGGTAAAATATGTAACAGTATCAGCAAGTAGCCAATCACTAGTCTCGGATGGACAATAGGAAAAGTGAATAATCTGGCATGAGGCTAGATACTTCAAATAAACACCATTTCATCACAAGCCTGGTAATACGATAAATGTCGTAAATGAGGTGTTCAACTTGTATGAGCAATTTCCATCCAACATATTTTTTCAGTCTATTTTCTTAAGTATTTTTGGCAAAGTTTGTAGAGAGGGGAACAATCTCGTATGAAATCCCCCTATCGATAGCCATTCTAAGTGCCTTTGATGCGTGGGTAAGCTGAAGTGCAGCATCGGGATGCGCGGTGCCAGGCAGCATCTGACATTCACGGTCCATGATTCGAGATAATCCCTGTAGTAACTCGATCATTCCGAAAGAAAGAGCAGCCTTACGTAGTCTGTTTAACTCCTATGGGGAAAATGGATATATGCAAGTCATTTTAATAGCATCCTCTGCTTTATTTTAATGATAAAAAGATCTTGTTATCAATAATTACTGATTTATTATGTCAGTTCTTCTGAATATCTATTAGTGTAATTTTAATCTTGTCAATTTTAGTTCTTTATCAGCATGTAAAATTTCCTTTTGTGGCACAATCTCTTCAAATCCTTGATTTCGTTATTTTCAGTCCTTGATGGTTGTCTTTAGACCTCCACATAATCCTCCAAAACACTTTATTCCGAGTGATTTGTATTTTATTACCTTGGCCAAAGGAGGTTTCGCCAATGTCTGTCTTTCTGTTCTGTCTGTTAGCAAGATTACGCAAAAACTAAGAAATGGATCATCATCAAATTTAGTGGAATGGTATATAATGATTTAAGGGATGACTTAATTTTGGGAAGAAAATGTCAAAGGTCAATGTTACAGAAATCTCTTTTTTTACCCTCGAGCATAAAAGAAAATAATGAAATTGCCCATCATACATGGACTGCAGCATATTGTTCGGTATTCAGTCACAGGGCAGAGGTATACACTCTATGGAGTGATTACCTTATGTTTTGCTTTCTGGTATACTCAATTGAATTTTGGTATTTTCTATGTATATGGATAGTAGAAAAAAAAAATTAATGTTGTTTCCCTTCGGTCACCATGATTTTGAAATTTAGTTTGAAATATGGCATCACTATGGTTTGCATCACTTTTTTTTTGGGGGGGGGGGGTTGAATTTACAAACCTGTATGCTTATGGTGAAAAAAAAATAATTCTTGTACTAGATTTAATCAAACAGGAAGCCACTTCAGTATAATAGATATTTTAGAGTGTTTACTCTTGCACTATATTTAACACAGGAAGTCTTTCCAGCAGAACAAATCTTTTAATAGTGCTCTATATTCAAATTGTTGATAGGATCTGGAAAAAAAATTCTGGGTTTGGAAGGCAAACATCTTACTTTATAGAAAATCTGTGTTTTTTCTGGCAGCTTCCTCGCATAGCGTAGAACTTTCTGGACATCAGCCTGCAGACCGCTTGGCTTGATCCACACCACTGGATTTGTACCATAGCTTTTCTTTATGCCCGGAGTCAATGGGAATGGTGTCTTGCTATCATCTTCCCCATATGGATCAATTGGTAAACCTATAATGAAAGTGAAAAAGTAATTTCAGAAAATAATTATTATTGCTATATTATAATCTCAGGGAACAGTGAAATTGTTCCCTGGTTGTATTATATCATTATTTTTTAACACTAAAAATTTTCCCTCAAATCATCTACTGTAACTTGACATTTCATGACTGTAAAATGTTATGATGATAAACATCTTGATTTCTATGTGATTTGATATGTAGATTTTTAATTTATTTAAAAAAAAAAACTATATTTATAGAGGGTAACCCTTCCAGCAAATCTTAGTTGGTCAGCTGATATTCAGGGGCCCTCTTAAATAAGTGAAATAACGTGATCCTTATCAGAGAAGTCTAATAACAAGGCTTAGGGAGTGGAAATGTTTTTTAGTTGCAAGAAAAAGTCCTGCACTGTTACAGGATTTGAAACCAGAACCCTGAAATTGGAAGGCAAATATCTTAACCACAGTCTTCAATACCATCTGTAGCTCAATAATTTTGAATTGAATTAAAAGATCAAAAACATCACCACCATTCTAGTCAACTGTCATCCTTTTCATCATCACTTCATTTCTGTATTCTACTTCATCCATAGAATTCATCACTAGTTATTAATTATTAAACCTTACTTCCAGCAGGGCCCAATCTCTTAAACTTGCCAAGCCACGGCAATGCATTGTCTCCGGGTTCAAACAACGACATCATCAAAGTTGAACGCTTCTTATTATCTGCCCAAGAATACAACATTCCATACCAATCTTCACTGTGGAAATTAAAATATCAACCAATCAATCATAAACCTTCATATAGTTATTTTTTTAATATATTTATTAGTTCCTTTGTGACCTTAGGTCACATATGCGACACCAAAAGAGGTCAGCATATTTGTAAACAAATAGGCTCCAAAATGGTGCATAGTGGCAGGTATACATTGTGCTCGATAGTTGCTGGTGGACATGCAATTGTGCAAGAAATGTTTGTTTTTTCGGTTAGATGAAAAATGTAAGCTGTAGGCGATAAAACATATACTCCCTACCACCAGTTTTGAGTCGTTTTTTAGTCGAAAATTGGATTTGCGCATGTGTCGGGTCAAATTTCCCGACATTTTGTTTCTGTCGCAAGCTGCCTAGAAAATTTTTTTTTTTTTTGTCTTTCGTGGGTGCATCCCACCTTTATTTCAACCATCATATTTTGCACAATTTGTTTTCAAAGAGGTATGTCAATATAATTTTTCCTACCAATATAATTTTTCCACAACGTATTGCGAAGTACGCAATAAATAATCCTATGTAACATGAGGGTAATTTAGGTATGGAGATACAACTCCACAGGTAATAAATACAGTTAATAATATTTGAGATAAAAGTTCTTTATGTTGTTTTCGCGACTGTCAGTAAACATTGAGCAAACTGAGATAGTTGTGGCATATCGGCCACTTGTGCTATTATTTGAAGGTGTTCTGTGTGTTCTATTAGTGTTTTAGTATACTTTAACGACTAAGATTGACGGACCTGGTGTACCTAGGCCTAGCCTAGACACATACGTAATGTAGGCTTCTCTTTGGGCGACACCGTCGGACCTGGTGTAGGCCTAGACACATCTGATATACTATATGAACCTGAGGGTGGGTGGGGGAGATTTCATCAAAACATTAGTGATGGAGGCATGTGATAGACGGACGG